TCGTGACCACGACTTCCTGATATGACGGCCGTCAACTGGCTCCCAATCAATGTTTTGGAAGGTACAATGACGCAATGAAACAATGACATATTGAGGAGCATATATGCTGCAAAGAAGAATTGTGCTGTCTAGAACAGTCTTTTCCGCATTAAAGTATACCAATGGTTATAAGTCAGCTTTTTCATCATATCTGATGTCTGTTTCAATATCTTTAAACGTGCAGCATTCCATTTAAAGGAAGTGTTCCACGCTTGTATGACGCTTTGAGCTGGAATAGCTCCTTTGACGATTGTACGGCGCAGTTCACAGCCATGCTCTTCTTAACCCGCGCCCAGCTAGGCGTTTGAGATAGCCGCGCCCGGCCGGGTGGAAGATTACTCTTCCCCCCCCCCCCCCTGTGATCTCCAACTTCCAGACGGCCTGCGCCTGTGCGATCTGTGATGCGCCTGTGCGATCAATAGTACCAGGACAGGTTAACAGGAAGGGCCCCGACAATAGTGAAGAGTCCTCCGCGAATTAGACCTGAGGGGAAAAGCCCTAGATCAATGCAGAGACCCCTTGGGCATCGGGTGCCTTGGTGCGTTGCCTTTTGTCCGGCCCAGGAACAGCGCAAGGCCCTCCGAGGAAGTGAAAAAAACCCTAGACCAATAGGAAGGACCCCTGCAAGAGCCGAGTGTACCTCGGCATGTGGGGCGCTGGCGATGGACATATAGGAGCCTTTCTGGCGAATGGAAGGAATCCGTGGAGGGCCCTTGATAGATCGATAGTGCACAGGCTTCAGCACATAGTGCTCCAGCAGCAGCGTAGGGCCCTCCAAGGAAATTGGAAGTACTCAAGATGCACAATGTGCAGGACACCCAAACGATTGAGTGCGCCCGAGCAGGTTTACAGATGGAGTCCCCGACAAGAGCGCTCCATTCAAGTAACAAGTATCCAATACCTAATCTAGAGTGCTTCCGAACGATTGAGAGTGCCAGATTGGTTTGACAGATGGGGTTCCCGACAGAAAGCGTAGGGACTTCAAAAGTCAAGAGCAGAGTACCAAAGGCGGAGCGTGGTGGGCCCCCGAACGATTGATCGTACCCAAGCAGCGTAATAGGTGGGTCCCCAACAAAAGCGCAGGACCTTCCATTCAAATAAGAGGTACCCAAGGATCCAAGCTGGAGGGCAGCCGAACGATCAAATGTTCCTGAGCAAGTTAACAGATCGGGCCCCCGACAAGAGCGTAGGGCCCTCCACTCAGATAGGAAGTACTCAAGGCCCCATGTTGAGGGCTCCCAAGCAATCGAGTGTGCCCAAGCAAGTTCAAAGTAAGGATACCGACGAAGAGCGTAGAGCCGTCCATTCAAATAGGAAGTGCACAATACACAATGTGGAGGGTCAATGAACAACCGAGTGTGCCCCAGCAGGTTAACAGATGGGGAGGAGGGGGGGGGGGGGGGCATTGACAATATCTTAGGGTCCTCCGTAAGTGACAGGTAGATGGAATGGCCCTGGACCTAGGTAGAGTGCCCATGGGCATATCGTGCGTTCGTCGGTAGGTTAGAGGGAGTGCTTCACATTTATATGAGGTTTTTAAGCTCAATAGCCATCTCGAAGAACTTTCGGTGCTGTTCACAATTCTGCGATTCTTAAGTCTTAATCCCTCTAGTTTCTGAGCTACGCGACCGTATATCAGGGAAAGTGGTTTAAAGTCCCCTTGGCATTCATGACGTCAAAATAACCTAATTCAAATCCGTCCATTCCATGAGCCATGCGGGGATCAAGCCCAAGAAAAATATAAATGCCGAGCCGTTATATCTGGCGTTCGTGAACGCCATTTCCAGGCATAATGGCTGTCAGTTGGCCGTCAATCAATTTTTTGCAAGATACAGTGAAGTAATCGAACCATGATGTATCGAACGCATATTTACTCAACAGAGAATTGTGCTGTTGAGAACAGAGTCTTTTTCGTTCAGAAATGTACCATTTAAGATGAGCTTGTTTCATCATGTCTTATGCTTGCTTTAATATATTCAATTATAGAATATTCCTTTTAACCGATACCATCGCGAGGGGCCCCTGAGCAGCTGAACATACTACGGCAGGTTAAAATATGATGCCCCGGCTATAGCGTATAAGGCCTCAGGTGAATGGAAAGAATCATTGGAAGGCCCCTGATCGACAAGAGCGCCTCAGCATGCTAGCAGGAAGGGCCTCGACAACAGCGCGTGACCCTCCGAGCATATGCAAAGAAATCAAGGGCAGCTTGGAAGGCTCCTCAGTGATTGGATTTACCTTGCAGCGGACATATGGGTCCCCTGGGGACAGCGCAGGGCCTCTGAACAGCGTGATGAGCTTTTACCATTCCCAATCACGACTGTCTTAATCAGTAAAAAATTAGTTGTGTCTCCTCGTGGGGCCCTTCAGTTTTGCTTGCCACTGTTATTGGTCACCTGGGAGCCCAACGACGTGCAATTTTGTCGCGTTTTGTGTTAATAAACTGCGCCTCTTCGGCCAGCCATGGACCCCTTCCGAACCTATAGGCACCTTCGGGGCCCAGGGGGGAACATGGCCTCATGCCCCTCCCACCCGTTCTGGATACGCCAAGGACGTCAACTGGCTCTCAAACAATATTGAGCAAGCTGTGCAAGCCTCAATCACGGAACACGTTTTGTGCTATATAACAAAGGAAGTTGGGTGCGATTTCTTGGCCTACTAGTTATCACGGAAATAAGACTTCGAATCAAGCGGCATATAAATAGCGACACGACCGAACGCGTGAATACGAGCCAACACCTAAAATTCTTGGATGATTATGCAAGAACGCCACGAAAAAGAGCCAAAAGAAGAGCACATAACGATATTTGACTCAGCAAACGGCTGAAGCCCGAGCTGCCATCTCTCGATGAGTTTGAAGAAGTTCAAGTAACTGGCAATTTCACACGGCTATGGCAGTGCCTTAGCGTCCTACAAGTGTTTCGTGACGAAATCAAAGACGTATTGAGGAACAAATCATTCCTTTAACGCTGGAATATATTTTACTTCGCATTTCAGCCTTGCCTCAGACATTACAAGTTCTGTCACAGATTATGACCCTGAGCTGGTGACGAGAAGAGCACACAACTGTCTTTGGGGTGGTGACTTCGCAGGCATGCACGGCTCCGCGCGGCATGTTGCGAGCGGCGATTGATGCCGAATTGCACAATTGTGACGGCTTCTGACGCCCGAAAGTCCAAACATGTCGGCTTGCTTCGCATCTGCGCCGGACGACAAACAGATCGATGATCGATGATGGGTTGTTACAGCTTAGAAACCGTGTAACTGTGGGTGCGTCCTGGGGCTGAAGAGCGTCCATCCGGCGGCCGTGTGCCGAGTCGGAGCCCGATGAATGTCCATCCCCACCCCCACAAGCTCAGCTGCGAGCCTCGCATAGCCGACACCGTGGTGCTGGCGGCCAGCGGAAGCGGCCTACAGACACTATCGCAAGTTTGTCAGGCCTGTCGCCGCGTCAGTGAAGCCGAGTCCAGCATTGGCAGCGTCAGACCGTCCGGTGGCCGAAAGTGATTGCGATAGTCGATTTCGATGCCTCCCACAGTCGAGCCTGCATGTCAAGACCCCACGGGTGTGTAGTGTGCCACAGGGGCAATGCCAATATATATATATATATATATATATATATATATATATATATATATATATATATATATATATATGGAAATTTTATGCATGCGTACGTGCATTGAAAAAGCCTTTGAAAAGCCGGCCCATCGCCTTGGGATGTCACTGGGACGTTGTAAAAGCTCATAAATGACAATCGAAGCGACCTTCCGGGTCTTTCTGGCTTGGATGGGATGGGACGAGCCAGGAGAACGACCGCTGCCGCAGCAGCGCTCGTCGCTGAGATCGGAGCGCGTGCCCTGGCTTTTGTGGAATGGGGCCAATCTGACCATCGCAGATCAAAGGTCAGTGGAACGCCGATCCGTTTCCGTTCTCCGCGGCAGCAGCCAGCCCGGCCGGCGGGGTGCCAACACGGGCGACTTACGGACGGCAGGAGGCAGCTCCAAACACCGTTCTCAGTCAACATCCGGTTTTGATGCACTGCTGCCGCCCGTACGTCGCCCGCGTTTCCAGGGTTATTTATCTAATGGGCCGGGTGCACTCAGTCTGGAACTCCCCCGCCCAGCTGGATGGGCAGCACGAAAGAGCGAGGCGTGGAGACATCTGTACTTCTGGCTTGGCCTACAGCTGATGGAATTTTCTCACATTCTCAGACAGCCCTCCACATGCTCAGTATGTTGAAGTTCTGTCGGCGGACACCTAAAAACCTGACAAGTACAGTGCATTTGAGAACATCAGTTTGCTCCGAGCCCCATCGGGGAGACGTTGGCATGGACTGCTGGGGAGACTGGCCCCACAATACATGGGCCGGATAGTTCGGATCGAGGACGGGTCCCGGCTTAATTCGAATCACAGCTGCCCATGTAAACAGGGTAACTGGCACTGAGGCCCGTTCGCTAGCCAATCCACTCCACGCATTCGGCAGCTCCAGCTGTGCTTACGCATGAGCGCACATGCCAGCGCTTTGAAAATAATAAATCGTTAGCACTGCAGTCTCTAGAGCGTCTGTCAGGGGCGGATCTAGCCTGAAGTTTTTTTTTTGGGGGGGGGGGGAACTGTTCGTCGCCACCTGGCTGGTGTGGGATCCGAGGTCCAGTGCATGGTGCCTCTCGCGAGTACCTAGTAGGGACACCATTCAAAACCGAAAAAGCACCGAAATGCTTTGAATCTTAAATAGAAGTTAAGACAAAACAGTTAAAACAATTAAAGTTAAAACGGACGGTAAGTAGACGAAACTTTTATGAAGTTCTCGGAATGTTTTTTTGGGGGGGGGGCAAAAAATACTCTCAGAGGTTTTGGGGGGGGCCATGGCCCCGTGCCCCCCCCCCCCCCCCCCCCAGGGTCCACCTATGGTGTCTGTGAGCGATGTACTTGAAGGAACGCTGCTCATTCATCTTCCTCGTGTATTATCAACACAGCAAGACGCCGCGAATAAAGATGCTGTTAACAAATACATCCGTACACTTGATAACAAACCATGGCCATGACTCTGTAAAACTTCTGACTGACAAACACGACATGCTTCGCATGCCTCCGACAATGACTGATGACTGCAGGGGTAGGCGACCTGCCCTCCACTCCTGAGACGGATAATCATCCAACCCCTTGGGCGGCATCAACGGCGTCGTTCGCATTGGGACCTTTACGACGCACTCAGCACCTAAGGCGTCACCTGCCTCTCACCCTGGCAGAAGCGATGAGCATCGCGGGGACCTGACCCCGACATGATCATGATCACTGTCTCCTCCGCACCAGTCCCGAGCCCGGACAGGAGGGATGAGCACCGCGGGGACCCGACCCCGACGTGACCACCGGCCGCTGTCTCCTCCGCGCCAGTCCCGAGCCCTGACAGGAGGGATGAGCACCGCGGGGACCTGACCCCGACATGATCATGATCACTGTCTCCTCCGCACCAGTCCCGAGCCCTGACAGGAGGGATGAGCACCGCGGGGACCCGACCCCGACGTGACCACCGGCCGCTGTCTCCTCCGCACCAGTCCCGAGCCCTGACAGGAGGGATGAGCACCGCGGGGACCTGACCCCGACATGATCATGATCACTGTCTCCTCCGCACCAGTCCCGAGCCCTGACAGGAGGGATGAGCACCGCGGGGGCCCGACCCCGACGTGACCACCGACCGCTGTCTCCTCCGCACCAGTCCCGAGCCCGGACAGGAGGGATGAGCACCGCGGGGACCTGACCTCGACATGATCATGATCACTGTCTCCTCCGCACCAGTCCCGAGCCCTGACAGGAGGGATGAGCACCGCGGGGGCCCGACCCCGACGTGACCACCGACCGCTGTCTCCTCCGCACCAGTCCCGAGCCCTGGCGCCCTCTTCAGTCGAAGTAGTCATCAATGTCGACGTCCGGCGCCAGCAGGTCGTCGCCCAGATGGCTGACGTCCATCTGCGAGAGGATCAGGTTCTCGAACGTCTCTTCCAGTTCCGTGTCCCCCAGCAACAGGGCTCCCTGCACGCGGCCGCCTCTCAGCACCACCTTCACGAACTCCACACCTGGCAACGAATGCGGGGCGTCAGCACTAGCGGTGGCGTACAACCTCGGTTCAAACCGTCCCACCCATTCTCGATTTCTGCACGCAGACAAACTACGCCTGAGACAATTTTGACTGAAGTACGGCGACATTTGGATTGTGTTCCTTCCACGTGAACCTATCGTAGTATGCCCTGTAACATGTGCATAGTCGGTGCATCAGTCTGCACGTTCCGGTGGCTGCTGCTACACCCGTCCCGATGCCAAGTGGTTCGGACTCCCACGTGGGGGACAGGGTTCGAAACCCATTGGTTAGGTGCTAATATGACCATTGCAGCCGCTGGCATCTCCATAACAGAGGCGCGACGACGTACGTCACATTCCTTTTTTAAAAAAGGAGAGGAATTTGGGACTGAACAATGGAATTGAGCGTTACGGAAGGCGCGCAAGACGGGCTACTTCAAATCGGAACTTCGATTTGAAGTAGCCCCTCCTACGTGAAAAATCTCATTTGACTCCCTGCTCACCACTAGGAAAATCATACGTTTCACTTGGCTGTCTTTTCCGACGTGTGTGTTCTGCAAGGTTGGGTATGGAGGCTTCAGCTTTGGGAATGTAGTATCGTATGGCCTAAAGTGACGCACTGGTTCAAACTTCCACCATTACGCTTCTCGATAACAGGCCCTTGCCGCCGGCTGGGCTAATCACAAACGTTCTTTTATTCGCACCAGCAGAGGTGCGCAAGGCGGTTGTCATGACAACGGCGATCGCGACTGCAGGAAAGAGGCGTAGTGATGTTACAAAGTGTTGGTGGCGTAATTTGGATTCGAAAATAACCAAAATTGATATCCGTTTTATGTTTTGACGTACAGTGGCGCTACCCAGAGCTATCATTGGACGTAACTGGTCCTGAGCTTTCACTAAGGTAGGTCTTTGAAATATGCCCCAAAGGTGGAACACCCCCTTCAACATGTCTCACCTCTTAACTTTACTGACTCGACACTCGAAACAGCCATTTTATGTTGGAGAGCTATTTAAACGCCAACAGACACACACACACACGCACGCACGCACGCACGCACGCACGCACGCACGCACGCACACACACACACACACACACTCACACACTCACACACGCACACGCACACGCACACACACACACACACACACACACACACACACACACACACACACACACACACACACACACACACACACACACACACACACACACACACACACACGCACACACACATCTGTACCCGCCTGCACTGCAAACTAGCATTCCTGCTGGGTTTCCACATGACACCAGGGAAAGAATTGATCGGAGGCGGGGATTGAATAACTCAGTTTGCTTCCGCACGGTGGCTGTAAGTGGATACTGGTTTTCACATGCCAGCCCACAGCGGTCTGCAGATGCCCCGGAGCGTGATCGGCTCTCGCGTGGGAGGTACGAGTTCCATTCCCAACTAACGCTGCGACCTCTGATTGCTGATATGACTCCACGTGGGGGTCCGGGTTCAATTCTGGAAGCGACTGCATTGCTTATACCAGCACCCCAAAGGCTGAAGGATCAGCCGGAACTCAGCATCCAGACCGCCCACGTGGAAGCCCAGTGCGCCCTTGACTGAACCATTCGACATACTTCGGCACCATCTTACCAATTACATATCATGGTCCACACCATACCACAAAAAGGGAACACCTGCAGCCGATACCGGCCATCGACATCAGCACTGCCCGGCACGAGCGGCCGCCCACTGACCAGGCGTCATGCGGATGAGTGCCGTGTAGTCAGTGCCCAGCCGCTGGCCGTTGTACAGGCCCAGCAGGATCAGCTTGTGGCCCAGCAGGCGGGTCACGTGCGCGAACATCTCGAAGCAGAAGTCCATGAGCAGCGGCTGGCCCAGCCGGTCGGCTGACATGCACTTGGCTGCGTACAGACCCATCTGGCGCGCCTGGCTCCACAGCCGCATCTGAAGCACCATCCACGGCCAGTGACGGGCGCGCGTTTGACGGCAGGACTTCTGTAGCATCATCACGCTGCATGTGAGGCCAGGCTGTGATAGGGCTTGCATGAAGCCATTATCGCATGCCACAAGGCTGAACAAGTTCACACTGCCCAGTTTAATTTCCCCCAATATTTGTCGATCAGCACCATCAAAGGCCAGAGCCCTTGCCACCACATCGCCAACCGAGGCCAGCGCTGAAGCTGCGTCAGAGAGGCGCTACTGCCGGGCCGATCTGGCCGCCTCGAGCGGGGGCCGCGCCGCCGACGGGAGCCGCACCTGGAGCCAGTGCGGCGCCAGCTCCCATCCGGGCGTGCAGACGTCCCCGGCCGCGTACACGGTCGGCTCGCTGGTCCGCATATGCTCGTCCACCAGCAGGCCGCCGTCGTCGGCCAGGCGGAGCGCCGCGTCTGAAGGGGCACGGCGCCGGTCAGACACGCGTGCGGCGAGCGTCCCTCCTCCCGCTCTCAACATCGGTGGACAGAGCGCCGTTCGATGGGGTCCAGAGCCAGCCTGGGCCATAGAGACCAGTCAACAGGCTGGACGTGACGCTCCAATGGGAAAGTGTCGCCTCAGGTCCAAATTGAGTTAGATATGTCGGTAACTGGATCCGAAGCGGCGGGTTCGGAACAACCGGTCGTTAAATTCCTCAATAACATATTATATTTAAAGTATCTCCGTTCGCGGACTTCCTCCATCGATTTCCCTATCCACAACGCAAGTGTGCGAGGGTGTGCCTTGCTAGAAGTAGCCAAGCAGCCATAATGGGATACGAAACATCATGAACAGGTTCACCTTGCGGTCTCATTCAGAACAATATAAAGCATAAATTTAAAACACGTTTGCAACTTTCTACCGGTCATACGCTCGGCAGTTTCACCCGCGCGCTATACAACAATAGGCACTCCCGCTACGACCACCTGCCGGGAGACGACGGCAGCACCCACGGGTGGGCGGCGCGCGGCGCCGTGCGGCCCTCACCGGCGGTGAAGGGCTCGGTGTTGGGCCTGACGCCAGTGGCGGACACAACGAAGTCGCAGCCAACGATCTCGCCGCTGCTCAGTTCAACGTACACCGGCCAGCTGTCTGCAGGGAGAGGCACGTTAGAGCGAGGGGGCGCACAAAGCCCCACAGGCAGCGGCCGCAGTGCACCTCAAGAACACCAGGCCCACACACAAGCGGGCCGCTGGCCGGCACGGTCCGCGTTCGAGCCCATGCCCACCTTTACCAGTGGCTAACCTGAGGTTCGTCGCAGCGAACAATCATGACAGGGCAGCGGGCCGGGTGGCAGATGCGGTGGTGACAGGTCAGTGGGCAGGATGGCACGTGCCGTGGTGTCAGGGCAGCGGGCAGGATGGCAGACGCGGTGGTGACAGGTCAGTGGGCAGAGCCACCGGACAGTAGACAGGACACCACACGCGATGGTGACGGGTCAAGATGTGGGTCGAGCCTTGGTCTCACTGCACATGTTCACCGTACAGGTGCCCCTTCAGGCTGAAGACTTAGCTGTATGACTGAGCGTTTGCCTTATCCGCTATTACCCAAATTTATATTCTATATTACGTGTAAAAAGGAAACCAAAGTGGAGCTCCTGCCCACACCAGCAAGCCCTTGCGTAAACGCTCCTCCCCCTGCCGAGGACGTTTTCCAAGATGCCTCCCCTCGCCCCAATTGCCCCGACATCGGCCGGTTTGAGGCGCTACGACACGTCCTCAACACAACGCTGTGGGGTTTTCTTCCACCCGGCGGCCGTGCGGAGCCGTCCTCGCGTGGCGTGGCGTAGTGCTCGGCACCCTCTGCCGCGGTGCCAGCGGTGAAGCCCTCTCACGCGGTGCGGCACACGCCTGATGACCCGGCCGTCACCAGTTCCGGGTGTGAGACGCGCGGCTGGCATGCGGGCCCCGGCCCTGTCGCGGAGCCGTGTGCAGCGTCCCGTCACCTGCGGCGTCGGCGGAGGCCGGCCGCTCCACCAGCCGGCGCAGCTCGGTGCGGTACCGCGGCGAGACGCGGCGCTGGCCGGCACCCCGCGCCTCCAGCCGCTGCAGCCAGTCCGGCCCAAGCGCGCAGCCCGGCACGCCGGCCAACGGTGCGCCGTCCACGCCCAGCTCTGTCGACACACGGCGGCGCTGCCCGTCAGCTGACTGCACACCTCGCGCCGATCGAGGGCGGCGTGAGGTCAGCACGCCCCCAGTCTCCGTCTGCAGGCTTACAATGGCGAGAACAAGTCACCCTCCGGGAAAAGCATGCAGTCAGAGCGCGAGCGCACTCACGTCGTCTAGGGTTCCCGGCCAACGCATGATGGTGGGCGGGAATGGTCACAGCGGCGAAGCTGTACGCACCCGCCGCATTGTAACGCCAGCGTCTGGGGCCGGGCGCCTTTGTCGGCTCCTCGGCCCCCTGCTTCTCCAGCTGCGGCAGGAGAAACTCGGCTGCGCCGGGGTCCACGAAGGTGGACGAGATAGAGCCGTCTCTGATCACCCAGATCACCTCCACGTCCTGCAGTGCGAAACTGGCGGCGAAAAGGACGGAAAGGATACAGACGGCTGGACCGAGCAAGCAGCCACAGTTGCAGCGACAAACAAAGTTAAGTTGCCATGGTTACAGCGACAAGCAAAGTTAAGTTGCCATGGTTACAGCGACAAACCACACCCCCTGACAACAGACAGCAGCGCCTACTGAGAGGGTGCAGAAGCGTGACAAGCTGGGTCCGAAGCAGACTTACTGTCTTATTTTTAAGTCGTAAAACATTACGCGGCCAATGAAGCACATCGATGCCACGACAGCAAACGACAAGGCAGAATGACAACTTCTTTAAATGATACCAAACACGAATCGAGCAGGTGAAGGCAGGTGAAGCGACGAAAAAGGAGTAGTGAGTGTCGAGCATCATCAAAAAATTCGCATCCAGAACAAATAGCAGCCAGTCATACGTCCAGACAGTAAAGAAAAAAAAACCGTTAGCTTTGTTCATTGTCAAAACCTCATTCGGTCCGTCGGGGAGGGTGGCTGGGGTGGGCTGACCCTTCTTGCCTGTACACCTGAGCTCGGTCCGTCGGGTAAGGTGGCTGGGGTGGGGTGACCTCGCTCGTCCATACACCTGAGCTCGGTCCGCCGGGGAGGGTGGCTGGGGCGGGCTGACCCCGCTCGCTTGTACATCTAAGTTCGGTCCGTCGAGGAAGGTGGCTGGGGTGGGGTGACCCCGCTCGTCTGTACACCTGAGCTCGGTCCGCCGGGGAGGGTGGCTGGGGTGGGGTGACCCCGCTCTTCTGTACACCTGAGCTCGGTCCGCCGGGGAGGCTGGCTAGGGTGGGCTGACCTCGCTCGTCCGTACACCTGAGCTCAGTCCATCGGGGAGGGTGGCTGGGGTGGGCTAGCCCCGCTCGTCCGTACACCTGAGCTGGTCCGTCGGGGAGGTAGCTGGGGGGGGGGGGGGGGGGGTGGGGGGGGGTGCTAACCCCGCTCGTCCGTACACCTGAGCTCGTTCCGTTGGGAAGGGTGGCTGGAGCGGACTGACCCCGCTCATCCTTACACCAGTTCAGAGGCGATGCCGCCGTTGCCGACGATGAGCACGCGGCGGGCGGAGCTCAGTCGGCGCCGCAGCTCCTCCACCGAGTGACCATCCCGGATACCGATGACGGCCGGGTGCTCCGGCAGCGGGAACCGCGGCCGGGCGCCCGTGCACACACACACTCGGTCGTACCGCACCACGGCACCGTCCGCCAGGCGCAGCTCCTGGCAATGGATTAAACTCGGGTCAGGTCAGGTCAGGTCATTGCAACGTTGACTAATTAGAGTACAGACGACAGAGAAACGTTCGCGTCACGCCGGCCTTTCATCATTGGCACCTAGCGTTCAAGGTTCGATTAAACAGACACGGCGCACCACGACATGCCTGGATGGTGGCAGGTTAAAAAAAGTTCCAAACTGGACGCTTTCCTAATCCTGTGATCCACCTATGTGTTTGGGACATGTCGTAGGACGTTGGCACGTGAACCACAATGCAACATCGGCAGTGCAAGCGAACATCAGCATCGGACATCGGCAGTGCGAGTAAACAGCAATGTTTTGGGGGATCTTGGACGATAGCGTCTGAATGTCAACGAAACTAAAACGGTACGCAAATTGAATTTACGAGATGCTGCGACACACAAAACAAGTTCGCAAAGTCTTCCTGTCGAGGCATGGGGAAAAACAACCAACTGCGTTCCATTAACGCCTCGAAACGCCGGCATCCAGCGATACGAAAGCGGATGGCACGCAAGTGTGGCGTCAACGCCTGGGTACCTTGCGCTGAGCGTCGAGCCCGGCCGCCAGGCCCTGGCGCAGCCGGACGTTGGGGTAGAGCTCGGCCAGCCGCCGCCCGCTGACCTCGCGCACGCGCAGCTCGTGCGCCAGCCGTGTCACCTGGACGGCTGACGCCTGGCGCACGGTGTCGGCCGCCGACACCAGCAGCACGTCCGCCGACGGCTCGTCGAACGACAGCTGGCGGAAAGGTCACGGTCAGCGCGGCAGGAGATGATGTGGTGCTCAGCAGGGGACGGCATAGGCGAGCGACAGCTGGCGAAAAGGTCACGGTCAGCGCAGCAGGAGGGATGTAGTGCTCAGCACGGGGCCGGCATAAGCGAACGACAGCTGGCCAAAAGGTCACGGTCAGCGCGGCACGAGGGGATGTGGTGCTCAGCAGGGGCCGGCATAGGCGAACGACAGCTGGCCAAAAGGTCACGGTCAGCGCGGCCGGAGAGGATGTGGAGTTCAGTACGGGCCGCCGACGGCTCGTCGAACGACAGCTGGCGAAAAGGTCACGGTAAGCGCGACCGGAGGGGATGCGGCGCTCAGCAGGGGCCGGCGTAGGCGGCAAATATGAATTGTGGAGCTCTTCGCAGGTTGAGCAACTTACGTCGTCGCAAAACCCTCATTACGCTACATCATAATGTAAAACAATATCCATCACGGTGAAGTGTCACTCCCGGAGGCAACCTCCACACGTTCCTCGAGCCTCCCCCATACCGGACACGTTTGACACCTCCACAAACATGTTCCAGCAACTCAATCGTCTGGTTCTTTCCACTCGTAAAACGAGCTGGCCGAGATGGCTAATGAATACGCCGAGCAACGACTTTTTTCCTCGTTAGATCCTAGGCCAGAAGTTCAAAGCCAGTGATATGCCGCCAACTTGGAACGATGTGCCATTTAGTGCTTTGCCCAAGAGGTCCCTCGGCCGAAAAAGTAAGGGGTCTCCTTAATGTTCAACGGGGTGAATATGAATGAGGTCAACAACGAAAAAAGGCTAGCCTTGTCTACCGGAAGACGCCTATCCTTTTCAAAATTGACTAACCAAACAAATTGCACGAAACAGGCTTTGAGCCCGCACGCTCACAATATTAGGCGCGGGAATACCGATGGCCGGTAAGCTGCAACTTCCGTCGAGGCAAACGGAGTTAGGCCGCTGCGGATAATATCAGGCGGCGGGCAACGGCCGCAGGAGGGCGACAGTCGTGAAATAATGCTTCCGAAAGTGTGACATAAATCAGCGTCTATCGTTCAAATATTACACTGAGGCGCATATTTCACCTGGGGTTGCGCTCTGAACGGATTAAAAGTTACTGCAACACGAAGGATAGAGATTCTATCTCTGCTCCTTCAATTCCGCCACAAGATTCCAGCTCCACTTCGCGGTGCTGCAAATGTCAATCCATTCCCAGTATCAAGATAAAATCGGAGCCGCCGTCGACCCGTGGTCGACTCGGGACCCCTCACCAACACAGGAGCCCATGTTAGGCACTGTAAGCTTCTAACAGATAAAGGGAGGTAGCCCAGTGTCAATCACTGGACCCGGCTTTATCGCTGCTAAGAAAGTGGGACCTCAAGCCCACACCGACACGGATCCGATTACACGGTGCTGGTGGTGCCTGACCGACAGATCGGCCCATATCGACTCAGAGAGTCCACGAACAGCGCAAAGGACCCTCTGACAGTCATCTGAGGGCCTGTGCCTGCAGGTCGGGCTACTGGAGAAGACTCCGTTCAGCTCTTCGTGCCCTTAGGCCCTCCAATCGGGTCCTTGAACATTGCCCATAATGGACCCTCCAGGCTCCTCGGAACCTAAAGGGGAGGGGGCAGCCTAGTGCACCCCAGGAGCCTCTCCCTCCATCCGTGTCACTGGAGCTACATTTGGTACAATTATTGCACCTTTGTACCAATTACCTATGCCATTGTATTTAACACAGAGAAATTATGGAAAAACCAGAGTTTTCAAATGTTAATGGTCTGTTCTTTCCATAATGCAAATCACCAAACAGGTGCCAGGGCACCAAAGGTTCTTCCAGTGGGTGGCCAATTAAAGGGCATTCCCTCATCCCAAATTTGTACAGCACTGAACACAACTCTTTGATGGGCATGAAAAGGATGAGATACAAATCATGTCCCCTTCTCCCTTTCAACAAATGTTTCACCTTTCATGCCAGTTGCTTCTTACTGAGACAAAGATTGTGCTGTATTGCTGTGTAGTACATAACAGCATTTACCACAGGCAATTTGAAATAATATTACCTTTGATGTTTTCAACAGTAAATACAATCTATACTCACTATTCATCTCTCAATCTCTCTTGTGGCTGCCTCTGTGCCACCAATGGACCATGGCAACCAATGGAATTGCCGGCCCAAAAAATACTTAAATGCTGCACACAGACAGGGCAGTCATAATTCACCGCTAAAGCCAAGTTCCTCCCGCAGGCCTCCACACACACACATACACACAGGCCTAGCTATAATACAAGGAATAAAGCTGAGAATATTTTACTCAAAACATATGTAAAAATCCACAATGCCTCACTCGCATTGAAAGGAATAACGTTGCACTCAGGACCATAAGGGCGTACCCCCACCCCCACTGGTGATACAATTGGGCCATATTGTGCAAACAGATAGAGACATTAAGATGGCAACAGCCTGAAGAAGACAACTCAACAGAAAGACCATTATAGAAAAAAACTTTGCCTGACAAGACTGCCATCCTCTGAGAACAGCACAAGTTCAACATCTGAATCATATGACAATTACTACTCAATATAGAATATAAAAGTCATTATATGGGTGAATAAACATTGGAAATAGATTTCCTTCAATATATATATAATTGCAACATCTCTGATCAGGACTTGATAGAAGCAATGCATTCCATTAACTGGCATGACTAAATGCATACAAACACACCACACAAAAAGACACATCATGTAGTGAAGTTGATCTATTATGTCAAAAATGATCTTGAGTTTTGTTACATCAACTGCTCTTTTTGTATCTATAAACATATAACACATCTAAACACAGACTCATCTTATGGTCATTCATTCTTAAACAAGGCATCTTTTGGCACCAATATCGTGGGAGAAATCGTGCAGAAGTCCATAAAACAACTTTCTGACATTAGAGAAGCACTCAGAGCTCACAAATTAAAAGGCAATGCCCATAAAATCATCCCAGGCACCAAGAAGCGTTCACATTACACTCACCTGTTCAGCACATGAAACACCCGCGATGCCACCTCCAATAATCAGGTATGTGCATTTTTCTTCTGCCATTTCTATTACTTAACTCTATACTTCACCAGCCAACTGTTATTAGCACTACACCAGACTACCAGCACTACCAGCCAACTGTTACGACCACTAACACTGCACATACACCACGTCTCAACACTCACCCGCCTTCATGCCTAGAGTAAAAGCCAATTTTGTGGCTGATGCGCCATGAACGCTGTTGACGGCTTTGCTCAGCGTATTTATTCTCGTAAGCTAAAAAACATCATGAGTAGAGAGGATCTACCGTAAAGCTACCAAACAAAGAGATTATCTGCTCCTGGTTTGCGCAGCGCTCGCAGGCGAGCAGCAGTCCAAACAGAAAACCTCTTTTATTTGGTACTTCCTACGGCAGATTTCCTCCGCTTGCGGTGTTTTCATATTTACTAGAATAAGTACTTCTTCTTCACACTTGCATCCCCATCAGTTATTGGTGTGGTGGTTCGTGTGTTTTGGGCTGCAGGGTGGTCCGTTTGGGTTCGGGTGCTGCTTAGATCACGTGTAGTTGCGTGAATACTGTTCGAATTCACCGTTCTGACTTAATGGATCTCTTCTGAGGAAATATTCTATGTAACAATTATTTGCAGGTCGATAATCGCCGGGGCTGGGCCGCTTGCTGGGATTGTTTTTTATTGCTGCAGCACACTAAAAAATTCGCTGACATTCTGACATAAGGTAAGAAGCAATGGCCCGATCAGAGTAAATCATTTTATCTTACTTTGCAACAATATGAAACACAGTTTCATTCTTTTGTCTTGACATGTGCATGGGTGACACCATCAAATTTTGGTAAGTTTCCATCCATATTTGTGGCTTCCTAAGTGGGTCTCTGGCCTACTATCAAGTCTCTTATGCACAGATCCCTCAGATTTGCTATGCTCCTTTCTACAGGATGCCTGGATACCCATTTTGCTTGAATAAAGCCCTCATTTGCTGTTGTGGGCCTCACTGATATGCACATAACATGCGCCTGTGCTAGTGAAGGCATGCTGGGGGGAAAGCCTGTCATCATAAATGTTTTTTACTGTTAGTTCAGGATCAGGCTCACAATATTGAAAAGGAAAGGGAGGTCCTACTCCAGAAATTTGCAGACCTTCAGCTTTACTAGATGTTGTTTGATGTAATGTGTAGGAACATGCAGGCCAGCAATTTAACCTCCTTTGGGTTGCAATTTAATTCAACCTTTGGGCAGCTATAGTGGAAGGAATACTAGCATCTGTTAAGTGAGTGGCAAAGACATAGGGTGGAGGCCCATCACCAAATGGGTTTAATTCCCTCCCAACTTTCAATGTCACATTTGTGGATATATGGTGGGAGAGGGCAAGTTTTGTACCAGTTGGTCTTGTTTTTGCATCCTGTGTTAGGTTAGAAATCCATTGCTGCTGCTATGGAGCCTAGCAAAATAGGTGCTGGGCTGGAGATGTTGATGCAGTTGAGTGGCCGTGCTGGCAGCTGTGCCACTCATCTTTGAATGAATAGTTTGAGCTTTTGGAACAAGCACTGATTTAATTACTGGTTCATTGTGCCTTATTGAGAGCAAAAGATTTGCTGTAAAATGTTTTTGAAAATGTGTCTGAATCTGCTTCAGCAAAGGAGCAGGCAAGTTTTGGTCCTAGTTTATCAATTAACTGACATTGTCACAGCTGGTGAAGGTTGAAGTACCTGCCTACTAAAAGTAAAGTGCAATATAAAGGTGCGAAAATGGTGTGAAAATATTGATGGCATGTTCTAAGCTAATCCACATTCTAGAGAGGGTTGCTGACCTTCTGAGCTTTTCTACTACTTGTGGATATGGGAGAGTCAATGTTGTGTCAGATGTTGCTGTGTTGTTCTGACTGCTTTTTCCCCTTGTGTTTCACAGGCAACTATGTAAAGAACATTTGAATTCAAACCAGGACACAAAGAGCCGGATTGTGCTTCACTTGCCAATGGAGCAAGGAGCCAGTAAGTTTCTGGGAGTTTTGGGAGTTTGGTCCATAGCTTGAATGATACAGCCGGTATTCTGACCTTTTACCGTGCTTCTGCCGAAAAACCTCCGCATCGGCAAGAATTGGAGCATGTGTGCGTTGGCTGACAAGCTTCGAGTACGCAATGTGATTGTCAGTTAATCCTTGGTGGATGTGTAACGAAATGGTAACCTCCTCCCCCCCCCCCCCCCCCGATTCCCGCAGTTTTCCGACGGCGTTCAAAGCTATGAATGACATCATTGCCAGATTTGGAACGGCTATTATTGCATAGTTGTGCGGTTTACACAAAATGGCCCACGCGACTCGGATGTTAGAGGTCTCATCTGATATCGTTTTTGTAGCACTCCAGAGCGATTTTCGCGTCAAGTGCCCCTTTGATTGCCTACGGCAAGTCATATTTATCTGGTAGTATGTGGGCACGGACTGACGGTTTTCAGCGAACTGGTCAGAACTCGCTATGGATCATTGGTCCGAATATTCAAGTGTACTTCTCTGGACACCTGAATGCGGCAGCGAAACCGATTGTTCTGCTTAAGTGGGCAGAGGTTTGCCGCCAATCAAAACCTGTTGAACATGACGCGTTTGGACGCTTCTTTCCCTGCAACGCGATTGACGTAATGTCAATATCGCGTGGTATGGCGGAGTTGTACCCTTCATCCGTGATGTGAATGACGCTATCGCAGTATGCCGCCACTGCTTCCCTCGACTGCTGCAGTCTGCCCGAAGAATCTTCAAGCAAGGGGTAATTCTGAGACAGTTCGTAGATGGATCACGTCCCACTGAGTTACTGCGTTCTGAAGTACGGTGGTTTGATAGCCGAGTAAAAAGCGTTCTTCAGGGCCTGTACTCTATCGATATTTGGGGGACTTCTATTCAAGTAATATTTTTATAGATGAAAGTGTACTCCTTGTTTTGCACGTTTTCGAAATGCCTGCTACTTCGGCTCCCGGTCTTACGTTCGGTGGTCGTTCTCAACTAAGTTTAAACACATGCCACACCTGATAACGCAGGCTGTGGGCGGCTCTTTTATCTGGCCGCATTTTGTAACAATCATTACCTATAAGATTCACTTTAGAATGGGTGGCACCAGGATAGGGAAAGTCGGGCACTCCCACTATCATCGTGCATGCAGCCAGTGTAATTTGTCGGAGAACGCATGATCGGAACGGTCATTCATTTCTGAATCCATATTTCGCTTTTGCCGTTCTGTATCTAGAAGGAGATGGTTTGCACCCTTGCGTGAAAGAAATTCTGAATGACGGCATGCAATGCGCTGTACCGCTGTGTGTGGCCTTCAAATAAAGCACCCAGACTATATGTGGCGCGTTTAAGTGGTTCTCCGATAAAAGTGGTTGGCTGCCATCCTTCCCGCTCTGTATCCACGGCTGGAACTGGACAAAAAAGATAGAGCGTTCCCGAAATCGTCTGCCGGAGGCGACTCCTGGTTTCGGACACTCCTGCGGTGGGTGTTTACCAAATTCGAAATTGGGCTGTTCTCGTAGCACGTACGTCTATACCTTTCGCGCATGTTGCCTTGAAACTGGTAAGGTGAACTTCTGGCTCACTGCACAATTGCAGGACAACTTCATCTGGGCACGATGTTTGATGCCTTTGAATTGCTTGTGTTTCAGATCGTCAGAGTCAGACAGGTCCAGTTAGTCTCTCGTCATGTGGGAGATCGGATGCGCCAGACGGCGGCGTGAATTGGCTGCACAGGCGCGCTTCGCCAGCCATCGGCGGCGGTCGCCGATACAGGACACGCTCGTCCGGCCGTGACCAGGCTGTGCGTGGTGACGTCAGTGACTCCGACTCCGACTGCAGTGGCACACGTTCGGAGGACAGTCGCAAGAGGAAGAGACGCGACTCCGAACCGGAGTCTCACAGCGCCCTCCAGGAGACAAGCTCTTCCGAGTCCGAAGTGGCGGCAACGGCGATCTCGTCTGGTGTTCGCGGGGGGCGCAAGGACAAGCTTCAGGAGAAATCTCATCACGAACGTACGCGTAACGGCATAGGGTCACCTCAGTGTCAGGTGTGTGGAAAAGCGTTTACCTACGTTAAAGGTCTCCGCACGCATCAGGCAACCCATTTGGGTGAGAAATCACACAAATGCGATCTCTGTGGCAAAAGTTTTGTTAGGAAAGATGTGTGCGTCAGGCATCGCAGAACCCATGCGGCGGAAAGGCCAAGGCTCCATGACTGTCAGTATTGTGGGAAAGATTTTCCCGGGCCAAATGAGCTAAAGAAACATGTTGTCATTCACTCCCATGAACGACCCTATGCGTGCGATCTTTGTGAGAAGGCATTTATCTTGAAAGGCGATTTGAAAAAGCATCGCAGCACACATACGAATGAAAAGCCATTTAAGTGCAAGGAGTGCAAACGGGGATTCGCTAGAGGAACAACACTTCGGAAGCATCTCATGACCCACACTGGTGAAAAGTCACACAAGTGCGAGATTTGTGGCCAACGCTTTTCCCGAAGAGATGTCTTGTTATTGCACGAACGCTGTCATACTGGCGAGCTTCCTTTTGCATGTGATGTGTGTGGAAAGCGCTTCCAGCAAAAGAGCTATTTAATTAGCCATTGCAACACCCGTAAATGTGCTCGGTCGAGCTCATCACCCAGTGATGATAGTGGTGTGGAGAAATGACCACTACCAGAGGATGTCGCACCAAGTGCCGTGAGTAAGACAAGTGAAAGAAACAGTGTTGCTTGACTTCCGATCATCACTTACAGGGTGCGTGTCACGTTCCCACTTGAATTTTAGTCATTGAAACGTCTTGTCGCTCGTGAGACGATCAATTCTATACAGTGCGCTGGCTTGCCATTCCCCTTTTGGGGGTAGCAGCCATCTTTTGTTTGGTGTACCCTGCTTCCATGTTGAATTGGAGCCACGTGTGCACGATTTGTCAGAGGTGTGGTACGTGGCCCCGTGCACTGCGAGGTGACGGTGCGTTTGGAGTGTGCGGGCTTGAGGTATGGTCACGTGAAAGTGTGTGCCAACGTTCGCTGTGCAACTCAGGGCATGTGGTCGCACATAATAAAATGACAATATTTGTGTCGGAGCGCTGTGGGCAGTTTGTCAGCGATACGAAAGTCTCCATGAACGTAATTGAGAGACTCGATAAAGTTCGGTGCCCGGATAATTCCACCGCCGGTACATAAGCTCTACAGCACTAAAATATCCGGCCGGGCGCGCGGCTAAACGCGACCCGCTTGGATGGGCGGGGGGGGGGGGGGCGAGTCACTGCTGACCCCTCTAAGGTCTTGAAAGCGACTAAGAAAGCTAGAGACACTTAGCGTGTGGGGTGGGAAGTGCCCGAAGTGGACTCGCCTGTGTCAAGAAGTTTGCATTCCTAGTTCGTTACCCATTGGCCAAATATTATTAAACAATGCCAAACTCGTGCTCGGTGCCGGCATCGCCCCCAGTCATCCTACGCAGCTAGCTCTAACCTACATACCCTGTCTAAGCAAATGGCCACGTGTGTATACCATGTCATGATTTCATTTGGCCTATACACTGTCAACCGATGTAAATCTCGCATCAGCATACATTACCTGTTTGTTCCGGTCACCCCTTGACAGCGAAGACCTAACGGCGTCCTGTCTCCACATAGGGTGATAACCATAAAACGGCTGCCCAGGACAACTGATAAATCGAGCTGGGAAGTTGCGGCTCGGTGCACTCCGTAGGACTAGTATACCGTTGTCAGCTGCCATTACAACACACCCGCACGATTTTTGTTTTGATTGTTTCCGGTCAATCCCGCAGCGCATCACCTCATCACTTGCTGGTTGGGCAGAGGGGTGATTTGCAAAGATACGGCGTCCAATGTGACATATTTTTGCTTGTGTGCGGAAGGTATAAGCAAGCCGTAACGATGCTGGTGTGGAAAAACTATCGGCCCGCAATGTAAATCTCACTTCGGTAGATATGGCCTTTTTTGTTGAAATCATTCCCTGACCCGCGCCGTGGGAAACTTCTCTGTAAAAACCTTCGCGCCGGGGGGGGGGGGGGCAAGTTAACCCCCAGCCGAACGCATGCTAAAACTATTAGTCGTTCGTGGCCGGCGCGCCTTTGTGCACATGATAGCACTGTGAGGACACTTCCAACTGGGAACGTTAATCGATTGACGGCCAATACCACCCATTTCGTTGAGATTGAACCTCAACTAATGCTGCTGAATACGGCAGACAGGCCGGGTGTAAAGTGGCGAACATACGGCAGCCATCGCAAAGGCTTGACTACGCGTGGAGAGTATAGCCAAGCGCCCTTGGCTGCGATGCTTGTAGGGTTATGATCAGCACTTGTAGAGTTATGATCTGGCTCCAAGGCGTGCTCGCCGGCCGAGGGCATCCATTTCATTGCGATGACTCCTGACAGCGCATCACTCAATGTTGTCGAGTTGACCGGGACATAGATTTACGAAGCTGCAGCTGTATATTTAAAAAAAAAGTGTTGCCGTGTACGGCTACAATTCGGGCCTTACCTCAGTCGGGCCGTATGCGTATGATACCACTGTAGGGACACTTGAAGCCGGTAACGTAAATCAGCTGTCGGCCAACACACATCGTATTCATATAACCGTCTCCTGAATTGCCGAGTGCGCGCGGTCGGCTATGAGCCCGGCGGCAAACATACCACAGCCCTGGGAAAATGCTGATAATCACGCTCGGCGAATGCGAACGTGTACAGTTGATAGCACTGCTTTTGAGCTTGCAGCGGGGGATGTTTCTCGGACGAGGACATCCATTAGATTGGGTTGATCCCATTTTAGAGAATTACTGGAACTGGCAAGCCGGTCATAACGTAGATTTTAAAATCAATCGTGGTACTTTAAAAATATTTCTTGTACATGGTGGCTGTCCTCTTTTCCTGTCGTTTGCGCTTAGGCACAAACATGCCACGCCTAAGTCAGCTCTCTGGGAGTAAAAAATGGGCCGATATTTATTAAAACCCATATTCCCTGCGCGCCGGCGCACCGCTCCTTCAATTTCGACCAGTTTTGCAAAGTTTCGCAATTTCACACTGTCGAATATGTCATATTTGACGCTGCTGACCGCAATGCACGTGTAGGTTTTCAGCCAAATTGTGTTCTGTTCGCCAATCTCGAGTGTCTCTTCGGCGCAAACCATAAACCGTAAACTGTAGTCCGCGTGATCGCAGAAACCCACAGCTCTCTTGCCATCGGCCGCCAGGCCAGTACAGGACCAGCAGCAGACGTTTGTGAGCGCGACTTCGTCGTGTCTAAAAAAGGCCTATATTCGTCTGTACTGGCACGTTTATTTCACATAAGGTTCGCAACACATTCCTCGAACCGCAGTAAGACCGAGTCCTGTCTAACTGCATATGAAATACCTAAAGGCACGTTCTTGTCACGTCACACCCTGTACCAAAGAGGCATCAGTCAATGGTGGTTGTTGGTCAAGTCAAGCTCAGATGGTCAAGATCCCTCCCTTAAGGACCTCTGATACCCACGCAAGACCTTCACGCGTGCTGAAATAGTACATCGTACAAAAATACAAGTACAAGTTTGGGCTAATTAAAAATTATAAATATGCTCCCAATGGAACGAACGCGGAGGTTTCAACGCCGGCTGCATAGTGAACGCAACGCATGACGATGATTTGTTATTGATGCTCCCAACGTAGGTTTAATACAACGGACCGTATATTCAAATTCCACACACATTCCACTATCAGGTATCCATCGATACGGCTTGTACACTTGCGCGCTTTCGCCGCCGTCAAAACAGTAACCTCGTCTGGGAACGAAACGTGGAACATGTCTACCGCGACCACCACCACCACCACCGTTTGCTGAGGCTACAGCTCGCTCATCACAGCCACTTTACATTTTGAGCCTGCAGGGTTTAAAATGAAGCGCCGAGGGCTGAAAGCCCCAGAGCCAGCCAGTATCGCGGTGACCAAAGGTAGTAACGCATTAGGCTACGTATCAAAGCTACCAATGGAATTAGTGTATTTATTGAACTGAACTTGGTCCGCCCTCCTTGTCATGGCTTCATCGTTCCATGATCAAGGCTGAGGAGAAACGACAAATACATACACAACGGCGTTTCAAAACGCAGTGGCAAATCAAGTGCCAGCTAACACAAAGGTGCCATGACAGCCATAATAAGTGCGAAACTAGTAGATAGAAAAGTCCTACACCGTAAAGATATAAAACGTACATACACTGCATGATACACTAAATAAAAAAGTTTGTCGTCATGAAAACTCGAGTTAAACACTTCCTCTAAATCATGAGACTAGTTAAACGTCAGTTTTGGTAAAAGCCCGCTTCATTGTTTCGAACATCGAGCTTGCATATTTTCATCCATAGATATCGCGTTGTCCCGAACTGACCGGCTGGTTACCTAGGCTTTTGGGCGCCAATGACGCGTGCGGTTCACTGCACAAACAACGACGGTGTGGCCAACGAAAATTGTCCACATGTCTGTTTCAACGGGGAAATTTTGTGATATTTTACATCAGAACGTGCACCACGTCCACCGCTCGTCCACCCAATTAAATATTTGCGATCCCGGGTTAAATATTTGCGAACCTGGATTAAATATTTGCGAACCCGGAACGACGTCCGGGTGTATCATTGGGGAGCACAGTTTATGGATAGAGGCCTCTTCTTTCCGAAACAGGGCAACCATGCATGACACAGAAGATGCCATGGAGTACGCAGGTTTATGTAATTGACAGAATGACAATTTAGTAAGCAAACATGTTTGGATCCCGCAGTCCTCAGGAATGATGCGTTGCTGATGATTTTCAGACACCATAGGGAATGAAGACGTTCCCACGGTATATTCCAGGGAGATGTTACGTACATCGTGTGGGACGCGATATTTAAAAAAGTTGTAAACGCCAAATGCATGTGCAACATATAGCAATGGGATACAGAAAAACACACGAAAGACCGAGTCTTTCTGCACCACTTTAGGTCGAATAAAACGGATGTACTGACCGAGTTCCTGTCGTGGAAACGGTAGAGCAAGATTCGTTGGAAGTTCTTTTTCGATTGCCCGAAGGGTTCTCTGGAAATTTCTTGTCATCAAGCTGGCATGTAGAATTCCAACTTTTGCTAGAGCCAGCTTATTATTCAAACTGTTCAGTCGATAATGAAGCTTACGCAAAACTTGAGATAATCCAAAAATGGAATCTGACACGTATTTGATATACGTGGCAGTGGTTATGACGTCCATTGTTTGATCCACGTGATAAAGTACGTCGTCGCGAGTCTTTGCAATTTTCCGTAAAGCATGCGTTATTTCGTTCAGCTGTTTGCGGTTCGCTCTGACAGCGATTTGTGTTGAATTTAGAACAGCAAGGGTTCCGTTGAAACGGTGGGCTATAATTTTGTCTTCTTTACCTAAGACGGAGACTTGGGCTTGGAGATGATATATCTCCTGTTCGGTGACTGTACCAAATGGGTAGGACATGACGTTTCCTATGCCCTTTATCAATTCTCGACGGGATCGTCAGGTAAATGGTGTCTGTGAGATCTGAGGAAAAGCATCATTAAGTTTCGTCATGTAGTCCCTGAATAACATCTACAAGGCGTGCTATCGTTTGATTTACCTGCGGTGTGGTCTTGCTAGATAGTTGTTGATAAAGGTGGTCTGCGAAGCCCTTAAGATTCTGCGTTGCCTTTTCTACTGAATGTAGCTGTCGTTTCATCAACAAGGTGTTTACCGAAAGAGTGATTGCCCACGAGTTGTAGCTTGGGTTCATTTTGCCCATCGGTATAAATACATGACCGGGATCGTCTGAGGTAAGGGTTAAGGGGTAGGAGGAAGTAATGCATGGCATCAGGATGACTGCTGGCTGCCAGAACATCCTGCAAAAGTCAGAACTTTCTTAGGATATTGCGATGAACATCATCATCCGAGATATGACGATTAATAAAGCATTTTGCAGTTTACGCTAGCTAATAATTTGTGCCGGAGCATTGGTCTCTGCATGACCAATGTCTGGGTCATCTTTCGACTGAACGGCATAAATTCGTGGCTTTTTGTCCTCATGTGGATCATCATCTGGCAAAGGAC